GGATAAAGTCCAATTATCATCATTATGGTTTATATATGGTTTTATGGAATCTAGCCCCTATCTTATTTTAATTCCCTAACTTACCCTGGCTTCCTTATGCCATAATCATACAAGTTTGTTTTCACTGCTGACTTACACTCTGCCTGAAACATTTCTCTACCATTCACCTCACTCCTACTCTCATCTTCTGGGTTTCAGCTTCAGCTCACTGTGTCAGAGAAATCTTCTCTGGCCCTCCCAAAGTAGGTTAAGTCTTCTGGATACATGCTCTCACTGTGCCATGTAATTTTCTTTGTGGCTTTCATCCTAGTTATAATTAGTTATTTACTTGACATTTATCTTCCTTGCTAAATACAAACTTTGTAAGGATTTTTGTCCTGTTCAGTGATTTAACTCCCAGCACTCAGTACCCTGCCTGGGATATAGCAGGCATTCATATATTTATTGAATAGTTGAAAGAAAGGGCATATTAAGAATATAAAACATGATAAAAACAAATGCTTTAGAGTGAGAACAGACCTTTTATTCATATATTGAGATAAACTGCAGAGACTGAAAGACAAAAAAAATCATAAATCATTCAGCGGAACATTCATTAAAAATAAAATTCATTTTCTTTAACAGAGTTCTCACGCCGAAAATTTTATATAAGTCTGATATAACATTAAATATTTTACAAATCAGACATTTCATTTTTAAATCTAATTGTATAATCTTGAATGCACTATAGACAAATAAATTTAAGATTTCCTTTACCAGTTTCACTTCATTTAATCGAAGGCTTCCATTAAAATTCCATCACACCATGAAAATTACCTGCAGCTTTTAAAGACACATGACTTAAACTTAAATGGAAAGAAAGTCTTATGTAGCAATCCAAAAAACAAAACAAAAATAGGTAAGAAGCATTTCTTAATCCAAATTATAAAATATCATTTATGTGTGAGTTTCTTTCTTTTCATTGGCCTAGTTATCCAACTCAAAACAATTCATTTTGAAATTGATGATTAAAATACTCCACTGTCACTGAAAAATCCCTATCATTTTAGTGGTGCTCTTAAATGGCAAAGGAGAATATCAGATTGGAATGTCCCGATTCCTGTGCTGAAGTGAATGAGACTTGTTCATATTCATGCTGGGTGTCATCTGCTATGCAGTTAGTAGGCAGCTTGGCAACCAGTAATCCTAATTTTCAATAATATACTAAAGTAAGACATTTCAAGAAACACTTCTTACCACCTACATATTTCCAGACTGCTAGATATAGGAAGGTACAATTATATTTGAAGCATGGGCCTTACCATAGAAATCTGTTAAAATATGAAAAATATCAACAGAAAGAATTCACACCAGTGAAATTCTATGGAATGCTTTTCAAAGTTAGAAATAAGAATATCCACTGCTAATGGAAGCCCCGCTCTGTGCAAACATAGTGTGGTATAAAATAATCACACATTTGAGGTATTAGCTGGAAAAAATATTATATACAGCTATACATGGACATATCCACAGACTATTCACAAATCTATTGGCCCCAAAACCAGCAGATAATAAAATTAAATAATCACGTACCAACAGGGAAAAGTTACAGGGAATTTACAAAAAAAATGTGGCTACATAATCCTTAATATAAGGAGTATGTTTTGAATTAATGTTTGAGGGAAAATGTTTCCATTTATATGAAAGTACCTATTTAAATAGTAATAAAACCAAAAAGGAAGCCTGAATTCTAGGACTGTGTTGCCTGCCAGATTATTAAAGGGATATGGAAGAATTCCTTGAAGATCCTCATTCTACCCACTTTTTCTTTGTAATTAAAAATTAGAATTAAAAAAATTTTGGAAGTTATCAGACAGCTCTTTTTCACATGTTTACAGAAAATTTTACGGATTTTAACTAGGCAGTAGTCCAATGTGGCCAATGGATAAGACTTTTTAGCTATTTAGTGAAGATTAAAATTCTGATTTATTCATTTTCGGAAGCTTTTCTTGTCCGATAAGGAAAAAGATTATGAATGCCTTTTTAGTTTGCTTCACTTAGTATGAAGACAGTAATATGGGTAGTACGAAACCCAAGCTTCATATGGGGAAGCTAAATAAATGCACAAATTCTCCTTTTGAACCATTTAGTCCTCTGACATAATACTTACTGAACTGCAAAAATGGCTCATTTGGTCCTCAGGCCAACATCAAGAAATATTTCACTGCCTTAAAGGTGGGAGATTTATTTTTAATGAATATGTAGGAATGCATTGTTAAGTAATATTAACATGTCACATGTATTAAATAACAGCTGCATTTTAAAATACTGGAGATCAACAAAGGGAAATTGAGATGTTAATCATTTTTCTTGGTAACTATTTTACATATTAGTATAACTGAAGATTTAACAGGAAGAAAACAAGCTGAAGGGACTGAAAGACAAAAAAATCATAAATCATTCAGCAGAACATTCATAAAAGTGCAATTAAAGTAAAGGGCTGGAATTTCACATTCCTGTATCTGTGAACACCTGAGCTGACACAAAAGCAGAGTGGCTTAATGCCTTGGCATATATATGCCTTAAGGACCTTCTTCTTTTCTCTACCACATCTTTGAAAATCATAAATAAGCATGTAATGATTATGAAACAATTACTTATTCTACCCACTTTTTCTTTGTAATTAAAAATAAGAATTAAAAAAATTTGGGATGTTATTATCAGATAGCTCTTTTTTCAGCATTTATTTAAGCATTCAAATGCAGTGTTTCCAAAATACATAGTTTTCACTTATTAGATGGATTATAATTTGAAATTTCTCATTGTTGAGAATTACATTCTGAGGTTTCATTAAAATAAATTCTGAAACTTAAAAATGACTAGCACCTGTCTATTTGAGAACTAAGGAATAAAAAAAGTAGAAGGTATTATTTATTTTCCCCCAAGTCCTCCCAAGGACAATGTATTCATGTGTGTGTGTGTATACAAAGGGATAAAAATGTAAAGCATTAATAAATATAATTGCCACCACACTTCTAAAACAGCAGTAAGAAAAACTAGTAAAGTAGTACTTGAGGGCTTTTAGGTAATGATAAAAATGAACAGTACCAGTTTTCAAATGAAATTGCAAAGACATGTAGGTAAAACTAAGATGACAAAATGTTGAGATTTTTAAAAGTAGCAAAAAATATGAAAATCTTACATCTTAAGATAGCTAAAGTCTTCTTATTTTGTAGAATTAACCCCAAGTTCTAACACTTGGATGGGCCTTTACACCAAGATATAGGTAACATTAAGGACTTAATCTTTACTTGCATATTTTATATGTAGCTTGTATTGTCAGGCACTCAATCAGTCATTTCCCACAGTTGCTTGAAAATTTTGTCAAACACATTTCCCTGAACATTTTATGAAATGTAATAGAATGCAGCAATGCAACTGAAATACTGTCCAAAAGCCATGTATGACTTCTTAATACATAATTTCACTTATTTTGATAACTTCATCTGTCTCCTTAAAGCCAGGATTAAGGGGAAAAGAGCCAGTCAGTAAGTCAGTTCACATAAGCATCAACCACAATCTTGTCAATATCCCAATAAATTGGAAAAATAAATGGGTGAAAATTTTCATTTATAAGTTTTCTGATGCAGACGAACTTTCCAAGTTAATTAGAGTGCTGTGACCTTCTTTTTAAAAAATTCATTCTACAGGCGCAAGAAAATATTTAAAATTGCATTTTCTTTTTAAGTACTGCTATTTTTTTTAAAGGTGGAATTTATAAAAGGAAGTTGGAATTTCTAAGCTGTCCAGTTTTCCTAGAACAATATGTTTTTTAGTTTAACCTACTAATTCAAGCAGGTATTTCTATTGATTCATCTGGAAAGGGGATACAAGAGGACATTTTTAAAAGAATGGTCATTTTAAGTTTCAATAGGTGCTATAAATTGACTACATTCAGAAGAAAATCTTTAAACAAAGGAATACTGCCACTTTTACTAACATTCTCACACACAAAGAAACCAACAAAGATGTGTTCATTTTCCATTAACTGAGTATGAAGCAAAATTATTAGAATGTTAAAAACAGATTAGAGATCAGCTAGTTTCATACCCAATATAGGCACTAAAAACTTCAATTTCCATCTGATTTTTCAAATTTATATTATGGATGTAACTACCAGGAGCTTATTCCTACAGGATTAATTGAATTACTCAATGGTGAGTAGATTTTAGCTCAGAATTTTATAAGGATAACTTGCTATAAATCACTATGCTACCTGCTGCTATATTTCTGCTCACTGTTGCATGTGGCCAAACAGATCATGCCCTGATCAAATTAAGTGTGCTGTAATCTACTTATATATTTAAGAGTTGGCAATCAGGTTAAAAGGCACAAAGCAAAGTAGTAATTTTTCCTATTATTTGTAGAAGAATCCATTTACTTTTGGATTCTGCTTCAATGATCACTAAGAAGAAACTGCAAATTTCCACGGGGGTGGAGGGAACATGTAGGTCCTCTTCTTCATAAATTTTAGCAGCTTTCAAAATCATATACAAGGGTTGGCAAAAGTAGGTTTACAGTTGTGAGTACACAAAAGTTTATTCTTATATTATTAATTGTATCATTTGTATTAATTGTACTACAGTTTAATACAATTAATTGTATTAATTGTACTAAAACTGTAAACCTACTTTTGCCTTCCCCTGTATATGAACATTTGGGGGCATTTTAATATTTGGAATTGAAAATGACAAATGGCAATTTACTATTGAAGACCCTTTTTGTTTTAACACCTATACAGCCATTTCCTCATATTTTCTTTAAAATCTATCAATATAGCATATTTCTATGCATGGCTTAGCAATTTATAAAACTAAATAAATAGCAAATTGATACTCTACACCAAGAGTTCATTTATCTCAATATATATTTTGGAATATAATGGCGATATTAAAATAGCTAATAATGCTACAAGATTTTACACAAAGTTAAATAGCTTTTGTTTTTTCTTTTCTTTTTGAAAAAGTTTCAGTGTTTAAACTCCACACATTTAACATCTGACAAGGAAGATGTAATTTTGTCGTAGAACATTTACTCCATCAATTTAAACTGAAGTGTCTCGTGGAGCTAAACACTAAAAGAATTTAAATAAAAAGGCAATAACCTGTATGTACACAAAATGATCATTCCATAAATATTTACATAACAAGGGAAAAAATGGAGAATCACTAAAACTGGAAACTGCTACAGGTGTGATAATCCTTTCTTGAGACATTTTTAGTTAGTAATCATATAAGCTTTTAAAGTGAAAATAATTACAGAAGCATAACTGAAATATCAATTTTAGTTTTCAGTTCCTTACTATTTAAAGAAGTCAGTAGGTCATAAAGAGTCCAAGATTTCAGGGACCAACTATTCAGTTTAGTGTTTAACAAGTCACTTTCTTTAGCGCTCGTGATAAAACTAAACTCACAGGAAAAAGAAAGAGCGCACTAAAAGGTATGAACAATTTCCAGCTCATCCTCCTTTATAAATACTGGTCAGCCGCTCCAGTTCTTTACAGTTGTCCATGCTCAGGGCATCTGCCTTCCTTCGAAGTCGTTCATCACGGTACACTTTTGCTGCATATTGCATATCTATTTCTGTTAACAAACAAAAATATTTTGCTAAGTAAATAATTTGGATTACCAAGTTGTTTTAACACAAATGATGTTCCATAGAAACCCTTCAATATACTTTTGTTAGCTGACTTAAAAAAAAGAAAGAAATCTAAGTGCTACTCCTAAAAACCACGTGGAAACCTGGCATGTAAAACACAGAGCTGCTCTGGAAAAGAAACAAGGATAGAGTCCTGTCAACCTCTTCCCTCCACCTCCTGTCCCCAGTGGTTTCAGAACTACTGCTCTACAGCATCATGACTCCTTACCCTGAAGAACCAGATGCTATTCAATACTGCTACTGGTGGTTTTTGCTGGGACCTTCTGTTACGGTTTCACATTATTTAATTATTTCCAAGACTTGGAAGTAGAAAGTTTGGAAATCTTGTTCTGAGTTTACTTGAATTTAAAAAATATAAATGTAATAGCCTTACTGAAGGAATACAAATGAGGAAAAAAGCATCCTCTACAATCAGAGTAGTGACATTCAGCAAGTAAGTACTTCTGAGGCTGCCTTCGGCAGGTGGGATGCATCACTAAAGAAAAGTAAATGAACTAGATAATAAACATTCTCCAGGGGAGTTTTCCTTATTATTTCCTGTTACTCTCAGCCATTTCACTGTCTGTTAACACTTCTAAATGGTGGCAGTACTTAGAGAAGATGTAACAAAAAAAGTAAAAAAACTGGTTACTTTCTGGAAAACAGTGACCAAAGTAGAGGACATCAGCCAGGAACACAAACAATATACTCAAAGGTAAGCGTGTTTTCTATTTTTAAATATCTTCAGAAGTGATCTTTATTTAGTCAATCAGGCTTGGATTTAACATCTAATTATGAATCACGCCACCCCCTTTATTTACAAATGAGTCACTTAGAAAATCCACTTACAGCTGGTTCTTCCCAAATGAAGTAGATAAACCAAAGTCCACAGGGCTAGTGGATAGCAGAACCTAGATTCCAATCAAAAGCTCCCACTCCCAGTCTAATATTCTTTCTATTACCTCAAGTTATTACTTGTATTTCATAAAACACCTATTTTACCAATCTAGGCACCAGAGTGTGTCAGAAGTGACTCCAAAACAGAAAAACCCTGGCAAAAGAATATACACTGGCCAATAATCGTTTTGATGGTATTAATTTACAACACAAGATAATCTCATTTTACTAAACAAGTGAAACAGTCAATCAATGGATTAACTGCTGTTATACTGAGCCCCTCCTACTTCCACCTTCATTCAAAACCACTGACATACAGATATGCTGAATTTGTTGGATTTTATTTTGAAAATTTCAAACCTACAACAAAAGTTCACTGTACTACAATGACCACCCTAAAACTCTTTACCTCGATTGATTAATTCCTCACATCTTCTCAAATTTGCTTTACCTGTCTCTACAATAAAAGCTGTTGTTATTGTTGTGGTTATTACTACTTTGTAGAACCATTTGAGAATAAGTTACAGACATCATGACCTTTCAACCCTAATTACTTTAGCATGTTTTTCTTAAGAACAATTGCATTCCCTTATATAACCACAATACAATTTTCAAATTCATAAATTTAGAAATGATATGATACCATTATCTAATATGTAGCTCATATTCAAATTCAACAATTGTCCTAATGACAATATTATTCATTTATTCAACCAAATATTATGACAATAACACAAATACCATTTAAAGTCTTTGCTATGTGCCAGAGCCTGTTAAAACATGCTGTCTCATTTAAGTACTGAGCTCCGATTATGTGTTAGGCAATTCCAGGTCATTCCTTGAGCAGGAAAATTCGCAGTAAATTCTGAAGACTTTAAGTTTTTAAATGTTAAACATTTGATAAACTTACTCTGTTGTCTTTCTTTCCAGCAATTATCTCGAATATTAGTCACATAATCTTCTTCCACACTCTTTTCTACCTTTTGTAATAACATTCCTTTATATTCATTTTTAAAGTCCTTGTTGACATAATAAATGACGCCCAAGTTTTCTGTCCGCATTTTAATAGTTTGCCCTGATCCACTGTAAAAGAAATGCTTGATCATTATTTTTAATTAAAATTGTACATTCTGATCTGCTACTATAAACCAAGCTAACAAAAATAATTAAAAATAATTAAAAAGTTATTGATAATCATTTATTTACATTATCTCAAACTGCCAACCTCTACTATTCATGTCATAAAAAAGTAATTATATTTTAATATACTATGTTCTTATAAGTTCTCTCAATTTTTAGTTAAAAACCTTATTTGGAAGAAAGTTATTTCTTATTTTTAGACCAATGTTTTTAATATTGTAAAATCATTGGCAGTATGACTTTAAAATTTTCCTATATGTTCACTGTATTACATTAAAGTTTTTTAGAATAGATGCTGCATTAAATTTCTTTTATGTACTGACCTCTTACATATGGAAAAATACTTCATATAACAAATATTTGTTTTTATTTCATCAATATTTAACAAACAGAAGAGTGAAGACATTTCTTCCTTAATAATGCAAACCTATGTAAGATGAATGACAATTCTATTTTTGTCTTTTGAAGTATTTTACACATTACTTAATATATTAAATTGCTATCAAGTTCAAATATAGTACTTCTGTCTTTATCCACAATGGAACATGTAAACTAACAACACAATATAAATTTATCACTTAATAACTATTCTAAAAATTAGACATTTTAAAATCTGGTATACTTGTAGTAGTAAGATTTGGCACTTAAAGGTTAAAAAACAAAATCCACACGAGGCCTTTTAAAGAAAGCCAGATAAGTAACAATAACAATTCTTTTTTGTAAAACTTCCCTAGCTACTTACGATCTGGGATATAAGGAATAAGGAGGATTTGAGACCATCAGTTGGCTTAGTAACGACACAAGGATCAATACAATAATGGGCATCAGCTGGATAAACACAGAAAAACCTCCCTGTAAAAAAATCATCAAAGAACAACAAATTACAATAATCTGTAGTTGTCAATAATCCAACAGCAGTCATGCATTTTTAGAGGAGAAAGGGTGTTTGAGATCAGCTGGTTCAGTGCTTCCAAACCTGCCTGAACATAACAACCTTTTGTGGTTGTTCATAATCCTCATCCAAGGATATTTTTCCACTGATTTTTAGAGAGAGTGGAAGGGATTGGGGCGGGGGAGAGAGAGAAACAACGATGTGAGAGAGACACGTGGACTGGCTGCCTCCTGCACGCTCCCAACTGGGGCCATGGAAGGAACCTGCAACCAGGGGACGAACTTGGTGTGCAGGCCGGCGCTCTAACCACTGAGCCCACCGGTCAGGGCCTGTAGTGATTCTTAATGATCCAGCTTTCCAGGTGCTTCACCTGGTGATCTTGATTTGGAAAACACTGATACAACCTGTTCTTATTTTACAGATGAAAAGTTCTCTCTTTCTCTCACACATAGAGACTCTATCAATATGCAGCAGATTGCATTTTTACTTGGCACGTGAGGGTAGAACATGGAAGCTGATGAGAGGCAGAGTGAGGCCCAGGCCTTTTAATTTCTAGTCTAGTGCTCTTTCCACTTCATGTGATTTAATTGCTGTATGCAATTAGGCATAATTGCATTAGAACAAGGAAAGTTACATCCAATTTAAGTTTTTCAGTATAAATTCTAAATTCTTTAGGATTAATGATAAAAAGTAACCTTCATAATATGCACACTGCAGGTTATCTTCATTAGAATCATAAAATACCAAATTTAAAGGTGTCATGTTGCCCAACCACCCTCCTGCTCCCCTGATATCTCTAATGGATATTCTAGTCTCTATTGAACAACTCTGGTAAGAGGAAACTCATTTTTTTTTTTCCTTTTAGAAAAACTCATGCTATTTTCAGACAACTCTAATTGCTTTTCCTGAGCTGAAATTTGCCATTTAATAATTTCTAATTATATCATAAACATACATCTCCTCTTTCTTCTTCTCTTTCATGTCCACTGTGTCGATGCTGATGTTGATGGCTATAACCAGCTCGCCCATTTGAAAATGAATGTACACTACCTAGGAAATTAAAAGCAAGGTTAAATTAGGGAGAGCAATTATGACCAAAAAAATTATATTTGCTTTTACAAAGAAAATATTTTTTATTTATTTATATTCTTAGTATTTAATTTTTAAAAATTATTAAAACAATGCATATTTGAGTAGTGAATGCTTGTTGCCTTCCCCTCTTGTGAGTGAGGGGTGGATGGAAACAAGAATGATTCTTCCCAGACTTTGCTTCCTTTCAAATAAAGAATTCTTTCTTTATGAAAAGTTGAATATAAGTTCCTCCCTAATATGCATACATAGAGAACTTTAGTTGTGGTTGGTTGCTTTTACAAACCTTGGGTCATTACTCTGAAACCCTGCTTCCTGTATTTATCATTAGTCATAAATACACCTAAAAATAAAAAAATTATTTTTGAAAAAAAAAAAGCTGTAGAATGCACTATGGTAGAAGTAAGCCACAATTTATTCAAATATTCTCCTGATGGGACAGTCAAGTTGTTTGCAAATAAGGTGACCAACCAGAAATGGCTACAACTGACAAAACAAGCTATGTTATAAAAGCAAAAGAACTGAAAAAACTATCAGAAAATTCACTATTACCTGAAAGATTTCTGATTGTTACTAGCAATTTTTAGTCAGAATTATTATTCTGAATACTTTTTCTGAGAGGTAATTATATATCCTAATATTTCAAAATACAGGTTATATTTTCAGTAATTAACTTGTATTTACACAATCTCTTTTCTTCAAGGATTCTTTAAAAAATGTTCTATCAATGGCCACCATCTTTCTCAGAAATATTCAGACAGGGCCACCAGACCAAATTATATTGCTATGTTTATAAAAATTCTCCTAAGTTTGAATGGGATGTTTAACTTGGAACCTTAAGAAATGTAAAAAAGACTGCAGCTTTAATTTTAAACATCCTAGATGAGCTGCTCTTAAAGAAAATTAACTTCCATACAACAACTCACAGTAAATATGAGCAGAGTTTACTACTTATGGTGTTACTATAAAATCTATTCATTTAGTAGTACCTATATAATATTTTACTTTGATAGTCTAGTTCAAGTAATTATTTCTATCAATATAATTTTTAAAACCCACTTACTTTTTATATAACCTACAAATCAGACATTTTAATATTTCAATGGAAAGCACTTCTACATATATCCAAATTAGCAATCTGTAACAGTTATAAAATACCTACAAAGATCTCCAGAGAATCAACGTCAAATAGTCATCCACAGTCATAACAGCACTTAACTAAGACATTGCCCCTGCAATCCCTACTTACACACTTTCTTCAGTTTTATGTAAAATACAGAACATCTGTGCTCCCCATTTCTTTTTATTTTTTAATTAAAATATGTTCTAGGAAAAAGGCAGACTTATAGTAATAGTAATGAATCCAACATTTTTCTTCTACCTTCGTGAAAAATCATCACAGGGTAATATTAAGAAATACTGGGAAGATGTAGATAGATCTCTAAATAGCATATCTGGAGGTGAGAATCTCTAGCTTCATAAAATACAATATTTATAATTGACATTAAAATACCTGAAGGAAATCCACCACCAAAGAATATATTAAACAAGTCTTCTGGAGTAATATCAGCTTCACAACCTCTATGGAAATTAAATCTACCACTGTTTTGTGGATTACACACTTGTTCTTCATTGCCTGTGAGGTCATACTGTTTTCGTTTTTCTGGATTGCTTAAAATAGCATAAGCATTGCCAATTTCTGAAAAAGTAATGAGTAAAAGTTGTTAAGCAAATTTTTTATATTGTAAAAGACTGCCCCATATAAAAACTGTCACGTTAACAAGAATAACAATAAAAAACTACTTGAGGCTAATCAATAACACAGCAAAACAGTAACATTTTCTTTTAAAGGTATTACATGTGCTTGCAATTACACATATTATTACCTCCCAATATAATTTTTTATACTGACAGGCAAGACTTCCTACTGGACATTCCTTCCTATAAAGGAATGTCCATCTTACTTTCTTACTATTGTGCTCCATCCCCTAATATCCTGCTTCTTTACTTCTGAGTGCCCTGATCTAGTCATTCATTAGTGCCACTGAAACCAATAATAATAGCAGTAGCTACCAACTGCCAGGCTCTGAACCCAAAACCTTATTATTCATTATTATACCCACTGTACAGATGAGCCCCCTAAGGCTCAAAAGGGTTAGGAAATTTGTTCAAAGTCATATATATATATATTTTTAGCACAGCAAGTATACTCTACGCAATCTACACCATAAACCTTTTTTTACACATTCCAGTCCCTGAAAAATGTATTCCTCTTAAATCTGTAAACTCCATGAGGGAAGAAATTGTGTCTATGTTTTCACTGCATTATTCCCATGGTTCAGCATAAAGTCTGAATTTGTTTTTGAATGAATCCAGATAATCTCTAGTCTTCCCATCTCACTTTGTTATTTTCATGATATTTATTTATAAAGAATTCTATCTCTCATCTCATATTTCTGTATCTAAAAGAGGCAATGGTATTGGGGTGATCACTTTTTAAGTTATATAAATGTCTAATCACTATGTTGTACACCTGAAACTAATACAATATTTTGTATCAAGTATAATCGAAGAATTTTTTAAAATTATTTTTTAAAAGGAGGCAATGGTATATTATCAAAATGTCTTCTTGAGGTAATTTACAAAAGCTGTAATGGTTTCATCTAACAGCAGAAACTACCGTATTCTCATTTTGACATGTCTAATAATCACTTCATAAATATAGCTTATTTCTTAAACTAGATCACATAAGCCTCCTGCAATGTGGGATATTTTAAAAATACTTTTTGAATCCCATGTGGTGGCTGCCATAGATACTATGAAAGCAAATAGATGCTCATTAGGTAGTTGTTTGGGGCTGATCACATATCACACTGAAATTAGTGATATACAGATACTCTGGATTTTCTTCTGGTAGGGCTTCTTAAACCTGGATTTCAGAGACAGGTCTCAGATGATATGTAAACTCTAATGTATGAAAAGTTAGGTGGATGGCACGTTTATTTGAAGAGATGGTCCAAAACTTTCTTCAGATTCTCAAATAAATCAATGACTTAGAAATATAGCCATCATTTATAAAATTGCTCCAATGGGAAACCATAATCAGAGATCCAACCACCACAGTTTTAACCCATACATAAAAAATCCCTATCTATCAATATCTGCCAAATTGTACTTCCAATAATAATAGTTTAAAATTTAACCTCTATTCACTGAATAGATTATTTCAGGTAATTTCATAATGGTTTTACTTTTTAAACTATTAATATATTATGACCCCAATTCTATTTTTTAGGGCTTTGCTTTTTAAAAAAATTCCAAACATTAAGATATTTTATAAGATGCTTGTAAAATACTTTTATAATAACTGTATGTAAGACAATTTATTCTATCTACTGTGACTAATTTTCTATTCATTTACTTTGTGCTACACCATAATCAATTTTGTTTTCGGTTCCTTATTATCTACAGAATTAATTCCTAAATTTATTTTGGTGTTCAAAAGACTTACAAGATATATTTCTACCTGTGTCAGTTACTTCATTTTTAAAAATTAAACTTTTTGTTTTGAAATAACTTTAGATTCATATGAAGTTGTAAGAAATAAATAATACAGAGAGATCCTTGTACCTGTTATCTAATTTTTCCCAATGGTAATATCTTGTAAAATTACAGTGCAGTATCGCAAATAGGGTACAGACATTGATACAATCAGTATATAAAACATTTCTATCACCATCCTCATGTTACCATTTTATAACCACACTCACTTCCTTCCCTTACATGCCCTCTTTAACTTCTGACAACCACTAATCTATTCCTTATTTCTATAATTTTGGCATTTCAAGAATGTTACACAGAGAAAAACAAATATCACATGATCTCACTTATATGTGGAATCTAAGGAACAAAATTAACTGACGAACAAGACAGGACCACAGACATGGAAGCATGAAACAGACTGACATATCTCAGAGGGAAGGCGGGAGGGAGGGCAGGAAGAGATTAATCAAAGAACTTATAAGCATGTACGCACAGCCCATGGACACAGACAACAGGCAGGTGAAGACTTGGGGTGGGGTGCGAGATGGGTGGAGGGGGGTAAAGGGGAGAAAATGGGGGACATCTTTAATACTCTCAACAAAATTTTTAAAAAAGAATGTTACATAAGTGAAATAATAGAGTACATAAAGGAAATAAAATCTTTTGGGATTTGCTTTTCTCAATCAGCATATTTCTTTGGAGATTGATCCACGTTGCTATACAAAACAATACAGTTCACTGCTTTTTATTTCACAGTATGGATATATCACTGTTTCACCATTCACCCACTGAAAGGCGTCCATCAGAGTTATTTCTCATCTTGGGTATACGTTTAGGTGTAAACATAAATTTTCAATTCTCTGGGATAAATGTCTACAAACACAATTGCTGAGCTGCATGGTATTCTGAATACTTCTTAGGTTTTATGAGAAGCTGCCAAACTGTCTAACAGTGTCATTTTACATCCATCAACAATGTATGAGTGACCCAGCTTCTCTGCAGGTATACCAGTAGTTGCTATCGTCACTATTTTTTATTTTAGACATTCTGATAGGTGTGTAATGATATCTCATTTTGGTTTTACTTTGCATTATTTCTAATGGCTAATTAATGGATGTTAAAATTTTCATATGTTTATTTGCCATTTGCATATCATCTTAAGTAGAATGTCCCTTCATGTCTTTTACCCATTTTCTAACTAGACTATCTTTTTTTTAAAATTTGAGTTTGGGGATTTCTTTATATATTCTAGATGCTAGTGCTTTCGCAGGTATGTACTTGGCCAATATTTTCTCCCTCCCCGTTGCTTGTCTTTTCAACATCTTCAAAGGGTGTTTGCAGAGCAAACTTTTAAAAAGTTTTGATGAAGTCCAACTGATCAACTTTTTCTTATTTATAATCATTGCCTAGCCCAAGATCCTAAAGATTTGCTCCCATGATTTTTTGCTAACAGTTCAAAAAGTGTTGTTCTAAATTTACATTCGCTATTCATTTTGAGTTCATTCTTGGATAAAGCATGAGATTTAGGTCAAGGTTACTTTATTTTTTTGCCTATGAACATTCAATTACTCCAAAACCTTTTGCTGAAAAGACTATTTTTCCTCTATTAAATTGCTTTTGCACCTTTGTAAAATATCTATTGGGAATATTTGTATAGGTCTATATTTGGGCTCCCCTGATCTAAGTCTATCCCACAGTGTTTTAATAACTGCAGCTATAAAGTAAGCCCTAAAATCAGGCACACTGATTACTCCTCATTCTTTTAATAAATTCTTTTTATTTATTCAGGTTCTCTGCCTTTCCATGTGAGTTTTAGAATAAACTTGCTTTTATTTACAAAAAGTCTTGCTAGGATTCTAATAGGAATTGTGTTAAGTATGTATGTCAATTTGGAGAGACTTGACATCTTTACTATGTTGAGTCTTCCAATCAGTGAATATAGTATCATTATATTTATTTAGATCTCTGATTTCTTTCATTAGTATTGCATAGCTTTCAGCATACAAATCCTATACAAGTTTTGTTAAAAATCAAACTAAAAACTTTTTGTACAGCAAAGGAAACCATCAAAAAAATGAAGAGACAACTTACTAAATGGGAGAACATATTCGCCAATGATACATTTATTAAGGAGTTAATATCCAAAATTTATAAAGAACTCATACTACTCAACACCAAAAACAAAAAACAAAAGAAAAAGACAATCTAATTTAAAAATGGGCAGAGGACCTGAATAGATACTTCTCCAGAGAGGGCAGAGAGGTGGCCAATGAATATATGAAAAGATGCTCAAGGTCACTAATTGTGAGAGAAATGCAAATTAAAACCACAATGACATATCACCTTACACCTGTCAAAATGGCTATCATCAATAAATCCACAAATGAGAAGTTAGCAAGGCTGTGGAGAAAAGGGAACCTTTGTGCACTGTTGGTGGGAATGCAGATTGGTGCAGCCACTATGGAAAACAGTATGGAGTTTCTTCAAAAAATTAAAAATGGAAGCACCCTATGACTCAGTAATTCCACTTCTGGCGACTTATTGTAAGAAACCCAAAACATTAATTGAAAATAATATGTATACCCTTATGTTCACTACAGTGTTATTTACAATAGCCAAGCTATGGAAGCAACCCAAGCGTCCATCAATAGACAAGTGGATAAAAAAGCTGTAGTACATATATACAATGGAATATTACTCGGCCATAAAAAATGAAATCTTACTATTTGCAGACAGCATGGATGGATCTAGAGGGTATTATGCTCAGTGAAAAAAAAGTCAGAGAAAGACAGATACCATATGATTTCACTTGGAGTAATCAAGTGAAATCAAGAACAAAATAAACGAATAAAATTGAAACAGACTCATAGATACCGAGAGAGAACTGGTGGTTGCCAGAGGGGAAAGGGGTTTTGGGCACTGGGTGAAAGAGGTGAAGGGACTAAGAAGCACAAACTGGTAGTTACAAAATAGTCCAGTGAAAGTAAGTAAAGCATAGGAAATATAGTCAATAAAATTACGATAACAATGTATGGTGCCAGTTGGGGTACCGGAAATATCAAGGGGAACACTATGTAAAGATATGATTGCCTAACGACTAAGCTGTACACCAGAGACCAATACAAAATAAAATTTTTAAAAAATATACACCTAAGT